ATAATAAAAAGGTCAAAAGTATTATTAATAATAGTTGTTTTAAAACAGACAAATACAAACAAACTAATCACCAGAAAACAGAATGTGAAAAAGAAAAAAATAAAAATAAAAAAAGAGAAAAAAAAAGTCGGTGGAGGACAGGGCAGGGCACCCAGGCTCTTTCTGAGCACACACTGTTATGGAGTTCCTGTGGGCCCAGAAGGTAGTTGGGAGTGGGGTACAGCTGCACCTACATTCACCAAGCTGGTGTGGGGTATAAGATTAACAAGAGGAATGTTGTACCTTTTAAGTCTTGCAGTCCAGAGTGTCCTTGGGGTTGCTATAAAGCAGAATGTGTTCTTAAGCCCCAGGAATCTGTGACGGCACTGTCTCTTTAAATATCCAAAATAATCAAGCTGCTTTTAAACCTTCAAAATGGTGGCATCCTCTGGACTGGCAAAAGTCCACACCTCAGCCTACTTTTCTCTTCACCTTCTCCATTTGTTCCCCAGCCACCATGCACAGTCCTCCATGCAGTCCCTGGCTAGCAGGGCTCATTTTTAGGTTAATTCTTAGGTCCTACCACCACTCGGGAATCTCCAAGTTGTCTGTGCTGTCAGGATCGCTCAGGATTGCTGCCAGATCACAGCTCCGTATGTCTCTTTTTTTGGTATTTTCATGCAAATTCTTCTGCTAGTTGCGGTTTAGTCCACTTCTATATCCTTCCCTTCAAGGCTCAGGAGTCCAGGATTATCTTCTGTCTGTGTTAATTGATTTCCCTTTTCTTTGTTGAAGAGGGTCTATGCAGTCTTTCTGCCTAGTCCGCCATCTTGCCAGAACCTCCTCTAAAGCATTTTTATGATAGCCTTTTCAAAGTCTGTTTTTAGGTAATAATACTCTTATCAGTTGAGTGGCTATTCTCATTCAAGTTGATACTTCCTTGTTTGTGGTATGAAGGGTGATTTTTTTTATTGAAGGCTGGAAATGTTTGTTATTATATTAGAAAACTTAAGAACTTATATAGAACTTCTACTATAGCAGGCACTCTTTTATGTTTAGCAGGTCCTGGTCTATTTTACTAGCTGTGATCTATTTTACTAGCTGTGGTTCCCAACATTTAATTTTCAGAGCTTTTGTTTTCCTATTTTGGTTTTCTTAGTTTCTTTGGTGCTCTTGGGGTTTTCACTGATCTTTTCTGCTGCTGACTGCAGGGATGGAAGGTACTTCCCAGGTCAGGCTCCCTGGTGTCTCTAGGTGAGGGGAGGGGACTCTTGCCCAAAAGGACAAGGAGCTCTTCCCCTAGCCTCTTGTCAGTCAGCTCCCGATCACTCCTTTTGTGGCTGCTGTTGGGACCACCTGGTATTATTAGTGATCTGAACCAGGAGTGAGCTTACCTGGGCCACCGTCTATTGCTGGTGTCATACAATACTTGGCTGTTGTGTTCTTTTTTGAGTCTTAGTGACTCTAGTCAGTCCATCTTCCTTATCTCACCTTTTAAGGTTCTCTTAGAGTTGCCACGTGTTATATCCAGAGTTTATACTTTTATTTAGAAAAAAGAGAATTTAGAGATGAATATAGGCCATCTTATCCAGAATACACTCCTCTGTGCTTATGTCATCATGCCTTCATTCACTTATTTATTCAAGAAACATATATTAGGTTCCATGCACAAGTCTTGATGCTGGGGAAAGGCAGAGCACGGCACATGCTGGGCCAGTTCTGTTGGGGTGGGAGATTGGTAACAACAACTGACCATGTACAGATTATCTCTGTAATGGGTACTTTCCTTAGCCTACCAAGTCACAAGTCTGGTGGTAAGGCTTAACTCTTCCTTAACCTTCAATATGTCCTGTTGATTCATTTTCACAAACACCTCCTGCATCTGTTCTCTCTTCTTACATGTTCCTTCTGCTCCAGCTTTTATTTTCTCTCACTACAGTGAATTCTGTTACCACCTCAATAATAATTCTGCTCCTGAGGGGTCTTTGTGATTCCTTCTCTATGCAGCTGCTTTAAAGGACACTCCACAATATAGACCTGGTCATAACTCCCACCAGTGGAAAACAATCAACAGCCTTACAGGATACAGTACCTTAAGTGGCTACAGAGGCAATGGCCCACATCTCTTAGGTCAATGCACTCACAGTCTCCATAGTCTGCCTCTGCACCTCACTCAGACCTCATCTCATATTTGTCCTTTCTTGCATGTCACAGTCCACAATCACCAAATGCTCATGCATCCTTGAACACACCACAACCTGGCAATGCCCCACACCACAGTATACACTTACTCCTCTGTCTCACATGTTTCTCTCCCTCTCCCATTTGTACACCTATTAATGTGACACAGCATGTGTACAAATGTCACCTGTAATGTCTTACAAATAATTACTCTTCTGTTACACTTTTCACAATGAAATTATTTGTTTACATTTATCTCCTTGTCGAGCCAGTGAACTCCTCATTATATGGGGCTCTAATTCACTTCATCATGTTTAGTGTTTAGGTTGTTGTTGTTGTTATGTGCTGTCGAGGGTAGCTATTACTAAATAAATATTGAGTAAACAAAGACAATGGAAAATTTAGAGCAGTAAATGATGAGTACACATGTGAGAAGGACAGACAATGAGGAAGAGATAGATAAGGAGTGAGAGAGGGCAAAGAGAAGAGAAGAGGGAATAGAGTTAAGAAAGAGGAAACTAAAGAGAGGAGAAAGGAAGAGAAAACAAGAGAGAACTAGAGCTATCGTATTTGGTGCAGAACAACTGTGGCATTTGGATGTGATCTTTGTTTTCATTCTAGTTCTGTTTTCTCCCCAGGTCTGGGCTCAACTCCTCTTGTCTCTATCATGGGATATGTGGATGGAGGAATCCAGCTACTCTGCCAGTCCTCAGGATGGCTTCCTCAGCCCACAGTGAAGTGGAAAGGTCCACAGGGTCAGGATTTGCCCTCAGAGTCCAAAATAACTGCAGACAGGCATGGCATGTTTTATGTGGAGACTTCCTTTACTGTAAAAGAAAATACTGGAAGCATATCATGTTCCATTCAGCACATTGACCAGAGTCTAGAGGTGCAATCCAGTGTATGGATAGGAGGTAAGTGAAAAGGAGAAAAGGGTGAGTGCTTCGGTAACTCAGCCTCTATCTCAGGACTGTTGTTTAGTATTGCCCAGCTTTATTGATTTAATTTGAAAATCAAAGGTCAATGAGGTATGAAAACAAAATAATAAAAAATGATTACGTGGAAATAGAATTGCTTACAATTACAGAAGCATATAATGATTTCCTTCTCCATGTGAGCTTTCCCATGGTGCCTTACTCCAAATTCAGCACATATAAAAACTTAAATAAAGCTGACTCGAGGTCCAAGAAAAATAATATAGCTTACCCATTTTTTTTTTTTTTTTAGGAATCATTTTGAATAATTGCTCTGTGAAACAATATAATAAAAAACATAGATAATTTCAGGAAGGATGAGAAAATAATAAAATAAATAATATAAATCTAAATATGCCACACATCACAATGTAAAATGACTTAATCTGCCAGTTCAAAGGCAAAGAAGGTCAGATTGAATTGAAAAAATTCCCAACTGTTGCAACTCACAAAAGAAAATACAAATTCTGTGAGCTATTCGTTGAAAATAAGGAAGCAAAAAAAGACCTACGAGACAAATATTAACCAAAGCAGAGCTATATTAGTTATATTAGTGTTGAGAAAAGAAAAAAAAAAATGTTTTAGGAGAAAAGTGCTATTTGAGATGGAGTTATTTAATAATTTTAAAAAGAAATTAATAGAAAAATATAAAATTTCATATATATAAAAGCAAATTCACTGCCTTTGAGTTGATTCTTACTTGTAGTGGCCCCAATTGGCTTTCCAAGGTTAGAAATCATTATAGAGTCTTTTTTCTGTGGAGTGGTTGGTAGATTCAACCCACCAAACTTTTGGTTAGCAGTCAAATCCCTTAACCACTACACACCAGAACTTATGGAACCTTGGTGGTATGGCAGTTCTAACCTACGAGCTGATCTGTGGGAGATAGATGTAGCGGTCTGCTTTTGTAAAGTTTACAGACTTGAAAACCCTATGGAGCAGTTCTACTCTGTCTTGAAGAGGTTTGGTAGGCATCTTCTAATATATTTTGAACATATATAATGTAAATATTGATGTAAGTATAAAGAAAAATTAACATACTGTGAGTTCCTAAAGTGGCTAAATAAGCAGATAAAATTAGCAAGAATATACAATATTTGAACTGCAAATTAACAATGATAATCTAATGAAATTCTTAGAAGTCTTCACACACATAAAGATTATTGTAAATGCATGGAACATTTATAAACTTTCACTAGCTACAAGCATATAAAACCATGCTCATAAAATTCCAAAGACTTAGTATCTACAGACAATGCTCTCTACTCATAACATACTAAGTTAAATGACAATTATACGGGATAATTTAAAATTCATATATGTTTGAAACCATTTTTAAAAATGTCCTAAAATAACTGAGAGATCATTGAAAAAGTCATATGATAATTAGAAAATTCTTAGAACTGAATGATAATGAAATCATAATATATTTTGTGTGAAACTGAGCTAATGTAGTTTTCTGAGTCAAAATTATATCCTTAAAACTTTCACATTAGAAATTAAAAAGCTGAATATTTATCTACTGGGTATCTGTGTTTATTTCAGACCAAACTGAAAGAAAACAGAAAGATGCAAATCATAAAGAGAGGAATTTACAGAAATAAAAAGATAACACAGATAAACAAAGTTAAAATTAGATGTTCAAAGTACTATTGCAATAGATATGCTTCTGGCAACATCGTTCAAAATTAAAAGAGAGATGACACAATTGAATAGCATAGAAAATCAGAAAGGGCAGAACAAAGATTTAGAAAATACTTACAAGACTGTTTTTTAATAACTTTATGCTATTGTATCTGAGAGTGATGAAATGAAACTTTCCATAAATAAATAAAATACAATATCCGACTCAAGGAAAAATAGACTGTCTAGTTCTGTCAGCATGAAAGAAATCAAATCAGCATTTAAAAGTCTTCCCACAAGGAAGACACAAGGGCCATAATATTTTACATGTAAAACCTACCAAACAATCACAGAAACAGAAAGTTTCAATCTTCCATCGTGTCTTCCATAAAATACAAAAATATGAAATATTTACTTGTTTTGTTAAGTTAACATAATTTTGATGCCAAAAGAGACCAAGGCAATTTGAAAGGAAGATTATGGTCAACCTTACTCAGAAATATAAATATGATAGTCTTAATCAGAAACATTGCAATACCAAATCAAAAGTGTATAAAAAACATAAAGCATCATGACAAAATTGAACATATCCTGGAATGGAAAGTTAGTTCAAAGTTGGAATATATATTAATGTAATTATTACCTCAATAAATTAAAGGAGATAAACTTTAAACTTAACATCTGTAAATGAAACACATGCATTTTAACATCCATTCATAACTTAAAACTCTTCTGAATTCTGAATTAGGAGAGAACTTCTTATAAATCTATAAAGAAAAGATGACTGCCTTAATATTGTGAAACTTTATCTAATGTACCTACCACAAGCATAGTATATAACAGTATATCATTTAAAGTTCAAATGCAAACAACAAAAAGCAAACATAATGATATGTTATTTAAAATAAGACATATAATGCAGATGACTATGTTAAATATTTTTTATTTAACATTACACTAGAGTACTAGCCATTGCAATAAGGGAAGAAAATTAAAAAGAGTTGTAACTTTTAGAGGTGAAGAAATACAGTGGTCATTGATCACAGCTTACATGATGATATACACCGAAAATCCAAAAGACTTTAAAGGCTAATTCATTCTCTCCCCCTCCCTCCTTTCCTTCTTCCTTCCTTTCCTCCCTCCCTCCCTTCCTCCCTCCTTCCTTCCTTTTCTCCTTCTCTCCTTCTTTCCTTCCTTCCATTTCTATTGTGGTAAATATGTATGTAACACAGCAATTGCCATTTGAACTTTCTTCACATATACAATTCAGTGACATTGGGTTTATCATGTTCTACAACATTATCTGTTTATAAATTTTTCCATCACTCTTGTCAGAATCTCAGTGTTGCTAAGCAATGAGTTCTCCTTTCCTGCTTCCTCCCACTCACCCATACTAACTACAATTACATAATATTTGTCATTTAGTGATTTATTTCACTCAGCATGATGTTTTCAAGGTTTAATCATGTTGTACCACATATCAGGACTTCATTTTTCTTTATGACTGAGTAATATTCTATTCTATGTATGTATGACATTTTGTTTATCCATTCATCTCTTGAGGGACATTTTGTTTGTTTCCATATATTGGCTATTGTGATTATGTACATGTACTATGTGCATTGTGACAATGAACATGTAAATATGTATTTTTTGCATTTCTGCTTTCAGTTCTTTTGAGTATTTAACTAGAAGTGGAAATACTATATTGTATGGTGATTCGATGCTTGAGTTGTTGACAAACCACCAGACTGACTTCCATAGCAGCTTTGCCATTTTATAATCTGATCAGCAACAGATGAATGTTCCAGTTTCTCCATATCCTCCTCAGCACCTGTCTTTTTTTTTTTTTTTTTTTTTTTTAGTGCTAACCATCTTAGTGCATGTGAAGTGATGGTTTTAATTTTGCATTTCCCCAATGACTAATGATATGGAGCATCTTTTCATGTGGTTATTGGTCATTTGTATTTCTTCTTTGGTGAAATGTCTAATTAGGTTTGAGTCCATTTTTAAAATTGGATGATTTGTCTTTTTGTTGTTAACTTATAGGATTCTTTACGTAATTGAGATATTAAACTCTAATCCTAAAAGATTCTTGCCCAATCTACAGAATATCTCTTCACTTTGTTGATAAAGCTCTTGAATGAACAAAATTTTAAATTTATCTCTTTTATCCCTTGTCTCTCATGCTTTCAATGTCTTATCAAAGAATCTGTTATTGCTAGATCCTGAATCATCACCCCAATGTTTTCTTCTAAGACTTTTATGGTTTTAGATCTTAAATTTAGGTCTTCGATGCATTTTGAGTTAGTTTTCATATCTTGTATGATGTATGGGTTCAGGTTCATTCTTTTGCTTGTGGAAATCCATTTGTTCCAGCACCATTTATTGAAAAGGTTATGCTTTCCCCATTGGATGGATTTAAAATGCTGTGGAAGTTCAACTGACCGTAGATTCTGGACTTTCAATTCTACTCTATTGGTCCATATGCTTATCATTATACCAAGAACAGATTGTTTTGATTCTTACAGCTTTATAACTAGTATGTTGAGATCATGAAGTATGGTCCTCTTCCTTTCTTCTTCTTTTTCAAGATTACTTTGTTTGAGCTCTCATAAATTTGACAATTGGCTTTTCCATTCCTAAAAAAAAAAAAAGGGGGCAATTAGAATTTTGATAGCCATTGTGTTGAATATATGGATTTCTTCTGGTAATATTAACATCTTAACAATGAACTATCCATGTGGAGTGTCCTTCAATTTATTTAGATCTTCTTTAATTTCTGAAAGTAATGTTTTATAGTTTTTAGTGTACAATTCTTTCACCTCCATGGTTAAATTTATTCCTAGGTAATTTATCCTTCCTTCCTTCCTTCCTTTTCTTTTATTTTGTGCCAAAACCCAGGAATGAACCAGGTATTTTGTTCTCTTAATCTTGTAAATGGAATTATTTCTTTAATTTTTTCCAGATTTTTTATTACATATGTATAAGAACCCCAGTGATTCTATATGCTTATTCTGAGTCCTACCACTTTCCTCAATTCATTTACTATCTCTTGTAACTTTCTTATGGATTCTTTGAGGTCTTCCATATATAAGATTATTCCATCTTTTAAAACGGATAATTTTACATCCTCCTTCATGATTTGGGCACATTTTATTTCTTTTTCTAGCCTAAATCCTCTGGCTAGAACTTCCAGTATCTACTAAACAGCAGTGATGAGAGTGGGTATCCTTGTCTTGTTCTTGATCTTAAGGGAAACGATCACCATCTTTTTTCATTGAGAATAACGTTAGGTGTGAGTTTTTCATAAATGC